TGGATTTGGCACTTGAAAAGTTGAATGGATCGGTGCTTTGTGACCAAGATCCACAACATTACTGAATGACAAGAATTTGATGATGAGTGTTCAGTGAGCAATTTTGATGATCAATTTTCAATTTTTAAAATCCCATAGTGTGCTGTAAAACCAAGTTTGCTGTTGATACAAAGAGGTTGGTGGGTTGTAAAGAATTCTGGAAATGTTTGCTGTTAAGATTTCAATTTGTTTTTCCTGCATGCAAATCAACTTGAATTTGCGGGCAGCTTAGTCAAGAATTCCTCCTCTTGGAACCATTGCATTTCCTCTTTACCTATTCAAATGATCCTTAATGTAAATATTGAAGATCTTCTAATGTTTGTGAGCATGTTTCGGAATAGCTTGATGACACGTATCAATTGATATGAAGAGGTGAATCATAACCGGAATGATCATTCCAATGTGCTGAGAATTGAAATTTTCTTTTTTACCTTTTCTGTGCGAACTAGGGTTAACATCAGCAGCAGTAACAGGAAGACCAAGTACTTCACAGATCACCATCAGTGGTGAGTATTGTTCGACTCCTTTTCAGAATATGAAAGAAATATGTTCCAAAACCTGCATTGCATCTCCATAATTTTCCTCTCCTATTTAGCGGGTGGTCCAATGACCGTGAGAGGTACACCAGTTTCTCATGCAACCACCCGTACTGGTAAATAAAGGTCACTTCATCTTCATGCACGTACTCAATGGCTTGCAAAGTGAGGATTCTATACGAATAATTGTGTTCTCTGCTGTACAGGCCCAAGTGCAGGCACAGTGATACCCATGACTGGTCGTCCTGTAACTCGGATTAGTGGTGAGTAATAGTATTCTCTTTGTCAAGAGCAATTTGCTTTGGAAACAAGGGCTTGTTTAGCGATTTATTGCTGGCAGAGAATGAGATAGTCCCTTGTGTTAGTTCATTCATGTGGAAATATACCATTTATTAGCTCGTGAGAAATTCCCCATTTCTGTTTGAGAGGATCATACTTGTTGGTTGACAGACAGGTGGCTGGAAGAACACAACAAGCCATGCAGCATCTGAAGGCAAGGAGAAGTCAAAGTTTTGGTTATTGCTCTTCTTCAGTCCTGAAATAGGGTATTATTGGAAATGCTGACTTCTCCTTTTCTCCGGATGCTGCCTGGTTTGCTGTGTGCTTCCAGCTAGTCTGTCTCCTTGGATTCCAACA